TTTGTTCTTGTTGCCCAGGCTGGAGTGCGATGGCGCGGTCTAAGCTCACTGCAACCTCTGCCTCCCAGGTGCAAGTGAGTCTCCTGCCTCAGCCTCCCAACTAGCTGGGATTACAGGTGTCCCCACCATCCTGGCTAATTTTTTTGTATTTTTAGTAGAGATGGAGTTTCACCATGTTGGCCAGGCTGGTCTCGAACTCCTGACCTCAGGTGCTCTGCCTGCCTTGGCCTCCCAAAGTGCTGGGATTACAGGTATGAGCTACCATGCCTGGCCCTGGTTTCACATTCTGCCTGTGCCATTTACAAACCTTGTGACTGCCAGGAAGCAGATACAAGGAGACCCAGAGTCCCATGAGCAGCAACTTGAGGGCACCTGACCATGTGGAGAAGCCCAGGGAGTCTGGACCCTCGGTACATCTTGGGCCTGGAGTGACTTGAGAGTGGGAACTCCCAGGTTAGCACCTAAGAGATCTTCCAGAGGGTGTGGTTCTGGATCTTGTTGGCAGATCGCCCCCACCAACGCTCTGACATGGCCTTACCCTTTCTCCTCTCCCTCAAAGGCACAAACCAATCCCACCCATCCCCAGTGATGACCCCTAGGTCAATCTCCAAAAAAGATGGTAGATGGCAGCCAGCAGCTGTTTGTAACTACATGAAAGTTCAGCAAAGAGCCCCTCTTCATTTATGACAGTGACTCAGCACTATAGATATACACTAAGGAGAATGCCCCTCCATTCTAGTCAGTGTGTCTTTTTATACCAACAGACTCGGGAAATTCCTGAAAGCAAAAACAGACGTGGAAATCTCTGCACAGCCTGAGTTTGAAGACCAGACCTTGGATTTCTCTGATGTGGAGCAGCTGATGGGCTCCATTAACACCATTCCAGGTGCTCACCTGTGTGTGTACTTCATGGCAAGCTCAGACTACCCAGAGCGTTTTTCTTTCTTGTGATGAGAACACTAAACATGAGATCTATCCTCTTAACAAATTTTAAAGTGTACAATACAATATTGTTAAGTACAGGTACTGTGTTTGTACAGCACACCTCTAGAACTTACTCATCTTGCATAACTAATCTTTGTATCCATTGAGCAACAATTCCCCATTTCCCCTTCCCCCAAGCTCCTGGCAACCACCATTCCGTTCTCTGCTTCTAAGAGTTTGACTGTTTTATATACCGCATGTAAGTGGAATCATGGAGTACCTGTCCTTCTGTGACTGGCTAATATCACTTAGCATAATGTCCTCAGGGTTCATCCATGTTGTCACAAATGGTAAAACTTCCTTCTTTGTTAAGGCTAAATAATATTCCATATGTATACACACACACACTTTTTAAAATCCATCCATCTATTGATGGACATTGAGGTTGTTTCCATATCTTGGTTATTGTGAATAACGAATGCCGCAATGAACGTGGAACACAGGTATCTTTGAGATCTTTATTTCAGTTCTGATGAATACATACCCAGAAGTGGTATTACTAGATCATATAGTAGTTCTGATATATATATAAATATTTTCAGAGACAGGGTATTGCTGTGTTGCCCAGGCTGGCCTCAAATTCCTGGGCTCACATGATCTTCCCACCTCAGCCTCCTGAGTAGTTAGGACTACAGGTACACACCACCACAACCAAATTATTTTTAATTTTTTGTGGAACCACCATACTGTTTTCCATTGTGGCTGCATGATTTTATATTCACACCAACAGTATATAAGGGTTCCAGCTCTCCACGGTCTCACCATTTGTTACCTTTCACTTTTTTTTTTTTTAATTGAGACAGAGTCTTTCTCTGTCGCCCAAGCTGCAGTACATGGCATGCTCACTAAAACCTCTGCCTCCCGGGTTCAGGTGATTCTCCAGCCTCAGCCTCCCGAGTAGCTGGGATTATAGGCACCCGCCATCATGCCCCGCTAATTTTTTGTATTTTTAGTAGAGATGGGGTTTCACCATGTTGGCCAGGCTGGTCTTGAACTCCTGACCTCAAATAATCCGACCACCTTAGCTTCCCAAAGTGCTGGGATTACAGGCCTGAGCCACCACGCTCAGCCTCCTTTCACTTTTTGACAATATCATCCTAACAGGTATGAGGTGATATCTTGTTGTGGTTTTGATATGCATTTCCCTGATGACTAGAGATATTGAGTACTCTTTCATATACAAGGTGACTATTTATATGTCTTCTTGGGGAAATATCTATTTAAGTCTTTTGCCCATTTTTTAATTGGTTTGGTTTTTTGCTATTTAATTGTAGAAGATTCTTATTTTTTTATATACTAGTCTCTTATCAGATAAATAATTTGCAAATATTTTCTTCTATTCTGTAGGTTGTTTCTTCACTCTGTTAATGGTTTATTTTGCTATGCAAAAGCTATTTTAGTATGATGTAGTGCCATTTACCTATTTTTTGTTTTGTTGCTTGTGCTTTTGATATCAAATCCAAGAAATCGTTGCCAAGACCAATGTCAAGAAGCTATTCACCTGTATTTTCTTTAAGGAGTTTTACAGTTTCAGGGTTTTACATTTAAGTCTTTAATAATCTATTTTGAGTTTACTTTTGTTCTGGTGTAAGATAGGGATCAAATTTCATTTTTTTGCATGTGGATATAGTTTTCCAAATGCCATTTGTTGAAGACATTATCCTTTCCCCATTGTGTGCTCTTGTCACCCTTAGAAAGATCATTTGGATGGGTTTATTACTGGGCTCTCGATTCTGTTTCATTGGTCTATGTGTCTGTCCTTATGCCGGTACCATACTGTCTCAATTACTGTAGCTTTGTAATATATTTTGAAATCAGAATTTGTGATGCCTCTAACTTTGTCTTTACCAAGATAGCTTTAGCTACTTGGGTTCTTTTGTGGTTCCATATGAATTTGGGGATTTTTTTTTTATTTCTGTAAAAACTGCTGTTGGGGCCAGGCGTGGTGGCTCATGCCTGTAATCCCAGCACTTTGGGAGGCCGAGGTGGGCAGATCACGAGATCAGGAGATCAAGACCATCCCGGCTAACACGGTGAAACCCTGTCTCTACTAAAAATACAAAAAATTAGCTGGGCATGGTGGTGGGTGCCTGTAGTCCCAGCTACTCAGGAGGCTGAGGCAGGAGAATGGTGTGAACCTGGGAGGTGGAGCTTGCAGTGAGCCGAGATCGCACAACTGCACTCCACCCTGGGCAAGAGCGAGACTCCGTCTCAAAAACAAAAACAAAAACAAAAACAAACAAAAAAACTGCTGTTGGGATTTTGATAAGGATTGCCTTGAATCTGTAGATCATTTGGCATAATATGGACATTTTAACAATCTTAATTCTTCCAATCTATGAATGCAGGATACCTTTCCCTTTTTTGTGTGTCTGCTTCAATTTCCTTCATCAGTGTTTTGTAGTTTTCAGTATACAAGTCTTTTTTTTTTTCAGACAGAGTCTCTGTCTGCTCCAGGCTAGATCACATGTTAGGCCACAAAACAAGCCTTAACAAATGTAAGAAGAATGAAATTGTATCAAGTATCTTTTATTGTTATTATCATTACTATTTTGAGATAGGGTTTTGCTCTGTTGCCCAGCCTGGGGTACAGTGGTATGATTGTGGCTCACTGCAAACTCCAACTCCTGGGCTCAAGAAATCCTCCCGCCTCAGCCTCCCAAGTAGCTAGGACTATAGGTCCATGCCACCATACCCAGCCAATGTGTTCAATTTTTTTGTAGAGATGAGTTCTCACTATGTTGCCCAGGCTGTTCTTGAACTCCTGGTGTCAAGTAATCCTCCAACTTCAGCCTCCCAATATGCTGGGATTACAGGCCTGAGTCACTCTGCCTGGCCTCAAGTATCTTTTATGATCACATGGTATGAAACTAGAAATCAATAACAAGAAAAAATTGGAAAATTCACAGATATGTGGAAATTACACAACACACTCCTGAGCAATCAACGGGCCAAAGAAGAAATCAAAAGGGAATTTTAAAAATCTTGAGATAAATAAAAATGAAACACAACATACCAAAACTTATGCAACACAGCAAAAGAAATACTACAATGGAAATTTATAGCAATAAGCACCTACATTAAGAAGAAAGATCTCAAATAAACAACCTAACTTTACACCTCTAGGAACTAGAAAAAGAACTAGCTAAGCCCAAATTTTGCAGAAGAAAGGAAATAATAAAGATTAGAGCAAACATTATAAGAAATGTCATATATGACATCCCACAGCTAACATCATACTCAATGGTGAAAAGTTGAAATATTTTCCTCTAAGATCAGGAACAAGACAAAGATGCCCACTCTCAACACTCCAATTCAACATAGTGCTAGAAGACCTTGCCAGAGCAATTAAGCAAGAGAAAGATAGAAAGGCATCCAAATTGAAAAGGAAAAAGAGAAATTGCCTCTGTTTGCAAATTATATATATAAAATATATATACATATAAATACACATATATATACACACATATATACACACACATATATATATATATATTTTTTGAGACGGAGTCTCACACTGTTGCCTGGGTTGGAGTGCAATGGTGCGATTTCAGCTCACTGCAACCTCAGCCTCCTGGGTTCAAGCGATTCTGCTGCCTCAGCCTCCCGAGTAGCTGGGATTACAGGCACCTGCCACCACGCCTGGCTAATTTTTTATATTTTTAGTAGACACGGGGTTTCACCATGTTGGCCAGGCTGGTCTCAAACTCCTGACCTCGTGATCCACCTGCCTCGACCTCCCAAAGTGCTGGGATTACAGGTGTTAGCCACCATGGCCAGCCAGATTATATGATTTTATTGTAGAAAACCCCGCAGAACCCCTGAGCTTTGAGTAGGAAATGTCGATGTCTGAAAAAAATCATAAAGATTTAGAAAGAAGGCCAGGCGTGGTGGCTCACGCCTGTAATCCCAGCACTTTGGGTGGCCGAGGCGAGTGGATCATGAGGTCAGGAGATTGAGACCATCCTGGCCAACATGTGAAACCCCATCTCTACCAAAACTACAAAAATTAGCAGGGCTGTGGTGGCATGCATCTGTAATCCCAGCTACTTGGGAGGCTGAGGCAGGAGAATGGCTTGAACCCGGGAGGCAGAGATTGCAGTGAGCCGAGATCACGCTACTGCACTCCAAACTGGTGACAGAGTGAGACTCCATCTAAAAAAGTATTTTTTCCCTCAAACTTCCTATTTTTGTCTTTATGGCTCATAAGTGAGAACAGAGGCTGACCTCTCTGAGGTTCCTCCTGGGTATCTGTGTTTAGCATCGTGGCTAAGAGATGGGCTTTGGAATTCTATGGATCTCGTGAGAATCCCAACTCTGCCACTTCCTAGCAGTGTGACTCTGGACAATTCACCTAACCTCTCTGAGTCTTGGTTTCTTCATCTGTAAAAATGGACATCATAATACCTCATAGGAATATGTCAAGAATTAAATGAGATAACTTATGTACAACATATTACATGGTGCCAAGTAGCTCTTTAAAGTATTATTGTGGGCCAGGCATGCTGACTCACGCCTGTAATCCCAGCACTGTGGGAGGCTGAGGTGGGCAGATTGCTTGAGCCCAGGAGTTTGAGGCCAGCCTAGGCAATGCAGCAAGACCCCATCTCTACAAAAAAAATCTTAAAAATTAGATTGGGGTGGCAACGTACACCTATAGCCCCAGCTACTTGGGAGACTGAGGTAGGAGGATTGCTTGAGCCCAAGAGTAAGGCTGCAGTGAGCTATGATTGCCCCACTGCACTCCAGCCTGGGTGATAGAGTGAGAAGCTGTCTCAAGAAAATGGAAGACAATAAAATATTATTATAATTACTTATTTATAAGGATAGTCTGTAATTCCTCTTTTTTCAACTGCTTGCTTTCCCTTTCTCACCAACACTGAACAACATGATTGTGGACAATGTTGTGTATACCATTTTAGGTTTTTCCTTGCACAGTATTTTTGTTATAAAACTTGAGTCATTCTGTTTTGTAATCTGCTGTTTGTAATATGCTCTTTTTTTAGCAAAACAATTTTGATAGATATTTTCTCACCCTGATAAATTCTTTTATAATATCACTTTAGTGGCTACATACTTTAATTTGTTTATTTAATCCTCAATTGTTAGATACTGGGGTGTTTCTAACTTTTTTTTTTTTTTTTTTTTTTACCATTGTAAACCATACTGTAATGCAAATCTTTAATCATAGATGTTAGGGACCATTCTTAGAATCACTGGGTCAAGGAGAGATTTCATGGAGCTATGATGTCCATTGGATGGTTCTTTTCCCCATCTAGGAATGGTGCTGCCCAAATAATCAGGCTTAGTCATTGGGAAGGAAAGGCACTATTGCCCAAATCCGTGCTTGAGAAGCAGAGACATTTTTCTTCACTTCGCTGTGTCCGGATCTCACATAAACCATCACCTTCCTGCTTGCATCTAGTGCTTCCTGAGGGGTTAAAAGCTCCCAGAACATCCATTTTCTTACACTGCATCTCCAGGTGAAGCTGTATTTGACAGTGTCTAGCAGGGCATCTGTTGAGCACCCTGAACTTTGTCATTGGGGATATAAGTTCTTTGTCTTCCTCCTCGCCTCTGTCACGTTATGATCTTTCAGCTCTGGACCAGAAAGCAAAGGATGAGCCAAAACTAATTCAAACTCCTTTAAGTTCAGCTGTGCTCTTACATGGGTTGATCAATTTCAACTTTTGAAACTAAGGATATTAAAAGTCTGGGATGGAGGGAGATGCTGCCATGGGAGAAGAATTATAGAGGAAAGGGCCGGGTACAAGTGGCTCATACCTGTAATCTCAGCACTTTGGGAGGCAGAGGCAGGAGTTCACTTGAGGTCAGGAGTTCAAGACCAGCCTGGCCAACATGGTGAAAACTTGTCTCTACTAAAAATACAAAAAGCTAGCTGGGCATGGTGGTGTGCACCTGCAGTCCCAGCTACTCAGGAGGTTGAGGCACAAGAATCGCTTGAATCGGGATGTGGAGGCTGCAGTGAGCCAAGATTATGCCACTGCACTGCAGCCTGGGCGACAGAGCGAGACTTTGTCTCAAAGAGAGAAAAAAGAAAGAATTATAGAGGGAAAACACCACTTGTTCTTATTCTTGGTTGTGTGGGTGAGATTGTATGGGGGTGGGGAAGATAGAAGTACTCACCTACAGAGAAGAAAATAATTAGCTTAGTAGATGGACTCTAAAGAAGTTGGTTCTGAAAAGCACAACTGGGCCACCCCAATGTTCTCTCACTAATGTGGGAGATGGTCCCTGGATGCCCCCTTTTCCCACACCATCAATGAAAGCAGAGCCTCCTTGTTGAAGGCTTCTTTCTCTCTGCTGAGGCAGCAGTGCTGTGATCCTCGTTGTCCTGCGTCTTTAAGTGCCACAGAAGGGCCAGAGGACCCACAACCTGGAGCAGGACTCCCAGTCTATGCCTTAGTCTGAGTCCCTGCCACCGACCCCTGCTCCCTAAGCTCATCTGCACTTGTCAAAGCAAGAATGAATATACTGGTTGTATTTTGCAGACTCATGTTTGAGAGGCTGTGTGTCCCCATCCTTGTCTACTCTGGACTTTCTCTTCCATTCCCAAAGGCTGTGGCTTCACTGGGGGATCAATGGTCATGGGAAAGGGGCCACTCTCACCCCACACCTCTATTAGAGGTTCCTCTTTTTTTTTTCTTTTCTTTTCCTAGCTCCTTCTGCTCCAGTCATAAATCCGCAGGCCCCTAACTCAGCCACAGGTTCCTCAGTCCGAGTGTGCTGGAGCTTATACTCCGATGACACCGTGGAGAGCTATCAGCTGTCCTACCGGCCAGTGCAGGACAGCTCACCTGGGAAGGACCAAGCAGGTGAGGCTCTGCCGGGAACATGCTTATGTTCATGGGAACAGTTCAGGCTCCCCAGGGACCTGGGCCCTGTCTTCCTGGCCGTTGGGATAGTGGAGACAGGATGGGTCTACACGTGCAGAGGATTGGATGCAGGCAGGTGAGCAGGGCAGAAAGGGTAGCAAGGCATGATGGGGCCTGACTGGGGAGGACGGTAAGGCCAGGTGAAGGGGTCTGGAGCGTATCTACAGCCATTGGGTCAGAGCTGTCCCTGGGACCAGTCTCTGGCTGCACTGTGTGCAGGAGGGACCAGGGGCGCCCCTTGTCAAGGAGGTTGGGCTAGCTGGATTCTAGCTTGTCCTGGCATCTAAGGGTCAGGCTGGTGCTCCTCTCACAGCAGCCTTGTGCTGCAGGAGGAACTGGAGGATTCATCTGCAGACCCCATGAGAGGTGAGGGGGCCTCTGCAGCCTGGAAGGGCTGCTGCTGATCCCAGGTGGAGACAACTCCTGAGATGGCCCCCAGCCTCCACTCTGGGCAGCTCTTGGCCAACATCCTTTTCCCCGGAAATAGGACTGTCTGGTGTGGGGTTATAGCTGGAGTAGGGCCGCCCACACCACAATAATCAATAAGCCATTCTCTCTTAAGGAGCGAGGGTCAAACAACAGAAGAGCCCCAGCTAAGCATCTGAAGATTTCAAGAGATCAGGGCCAGCCTGACAGTGCCTGTCCTGGGCATGTGGGGTTGGAATGGGATTGCTGGAAAGAGACTTAGAGATCTCCGTTTTATAGACGAGGAAACTGAGACTCAGAGAGAAAGAAGCTGTCCGTGAGGACACAGTGAGTTATGGCAGAATGAGGATGTGAATCAGGTGTGTAGGCATCCTGCCCCAAGGTCTGCTCATTGTAGCAGACCATGCAGATGGAGGGCTGAGTTCCAGAAGCTGAGGATGGTGTTTCTGCCCAGGAAAGAAGGGGAATTCTTCAGAAAAGTAAGAGTAAATTTAAGCGATGATGAGGGAGGGTAAGAGTGGTCAGAATAAAGACTAAAGAGGACATGGAGAGGGGCGAGGAACTTTGAAAAGGGAGGTTGGGGACTAGGAAGTCAGACGTGATTAACCCCAGCTTTTGCCACAAATCAACCCTGCCAGCACCCCTGCAGATACACAGAAGCCATTGTATTGGGGCTGTGTTGTGGCAATCTATAAATATCTTTCAAACTGACCATTTTGCTATAAAGGAACTGATATCTGAAGGTAAATTAAGAGTTATCACTGCCTTTCAAGATTCTGGGGAAGTCTGGAGTTGTGTCAGTTTTTGCTGCATAACCAAACCCCCTCCCCACCCCCTACAACTTAGTGGCTTAAAATAACAAACAATTCTTCTTCTTTTTTTTTTTTTTTTTTTTGAGATGGAGTCTTGCTCTGTTGCCCAGGCTGGAGTGCAGTGGCACAATCTCGGCTCACTGCAACCTCCGCTTCCCGGGTTAAAGTAATTCTCCTGCCTCAGCCTCCTGAGTAGCTGGGACTATAGGCAAATACCACCACGCCCAGCTAATTTTTTGTATTTTTAGTAGAGATGAGGTTTCACTATGTTAGCCAGGATGGTCTCAGTCTCCTGACCTTGTGATCCGCCTGCCTCAGCCTCCCAAAGTGCTGGGACTACAGGCGTGAGCTACTGCGCCCGGCCCTATTATTTAATTCTGTGGGCTGGCCAAACAGTTCTATTCTGAACCACCTTGGGTAGGGCTGGTTGGTCTAGGATGACCTCATTTACTTGTCTCAGATAGGATAGCCAGGAGGACTTGGGCAGCTGGGGTCTCTCTCCATGTGGTCTCGCATCCTCCAGGAGGCTGGCTTGGGCTTGCTCACATGGTAATGGAAGCGTCCCCAGCAGCAAGAGGGCAAGCCTCTGTGCACCAGCACTTCCCACGCCTCTGCTTCATCATTTGCTATTGCCTCATTGACCAAAGCTAGTCACACAGCTAAGCCCAGTTTCAAGGAATAGAGAGAAGGAAGGAAGCTCTGAATGGAAGGAGCAGCAAAGTCATGCTGCAGAGGGAGTGCATACAGGGATGGGAGGAATTTACAGCCAGTTTTGTAATCTACTACTGTGGGATTCGGCATAATGAATTTGGAGCCACTTGGCCAGTTTTTAGGGTTGAATTCTTATCTTTTTTTTTTTTCCCCCTAGCATTTACAGTGACCGTCAAAGAAACATATTGCTCAGTGACAAACCTTGTGCCAAATACCCAGTATGAATTTTGGGTCACAGCTCACAACAGGGCTGGCCCCAGTCCCTCTAGCGAGCATGCAGTGTACATGACAGGTAATGGGCTACTCATTTCCTATGACAGGACTTTCAGTCAAGGGGACACAGGAGTCGTGGGTTTCTAGACAAGGCAGAGCTCTTGATTTCATTTGGAAGGGTAGGAAGAGCTGTGTACATTTTGTTTCTTCTATTTAATACACCAAATCTACATGCCTAGTTTGACAGTGACATTTTTTTCTTTTCTTTTTTTTTTTTTTTTTTTTGGGGAGATGGAGTCCCGCCCAGGCTGGAGTGCAGTGGCATGATCTCTGCTCTCTCTGCTCACTACAACCTCCGCCTCCCAGGTTCAAGAGATTCTCCTGCCTCACCCTCCCGAGTAGCTGGGATTACAGGTGTCTGCCACTTCTGGCTGATTTTTTTTTTTTTTTAAATATTTTTAGCAGAGATGGTGTTTGACTATGTTGGCCAGGCTGGTCTCGAACTCCTGAACTCAAGTGATCCACCCGCCTCGGCCTCCCGAAGTGCTGGGATTACAGGCGTGAGCCACTGTGCTCAGCTGACAGTGATATTTTCTGATGGTTGGTCTCAAAATATAAAAAACTGCCACTCTCCGTCACACTGACATTTAAACCTTGCAACCATCTTCTACTCCAGAAACATCTGGAAGGGATTCCCTGGTTTGCTTTTGATTGCACTGAATCTCTTCTGTGGGAGGAAGAAGGTGGCTGTGATGTTTGTCCGTGGCTCTGAACAAAATGACTGGAAATGAACCCAACAGTTGTTCATCTCTCCCTTTCTCCCACATTTAGCGCCTTCTCCCCCCATTATAAAAACAAAAGAGATAAGGAGCTGTGAAGAGGCTGTGCTGATTTGCTGGGAGTCTGGGAACCTGAATCCTGTGGACTCGTACACTGTGGAGCTGACCCAGGCTGAAAGTCCAGAGGCCTCAGGTGTAACTGAGTGAGTCATAAGGGCATTTGCTGGGCACGAGAGCCCTGACACCTGATACAGTGACATGGCTTAGGAAGTATATGGAGTCTGAAGAGAAGGTTGGCATTTTTGATACACAGGAATCTCAATTTTTGGTTGCTTAGTGTTCATGAGAAGTAGCTGGAATGGTATTATTGAAGGTGAATGATGAGTGAATGAATAAGTTGGTTGAACCTCAGGTTTTGTTGTTGTTGTTTTAGCTGAAGTAAGGTTTCCCATTCATTCATTCATTCAACAAGCATTGAGTGCCTGGGTGGTGTCAGGTCCTGTGCAAGGCACTGGGAACTAGATGGATAAATTTCCTGCCCTAATGGGGCTGACAGTCTGGTGGAGAAATAGACAAAAGGCAAGAAAACAAACCAATGTGCAAAATATGCAGTGCTAGGAAGGAAAAAGAAATGTAATAAAACAGAGAGTGGTGGTGGAGGTGAGGATCCACTTTGTATAAAGATGATGTTTAAACTGAGACCTGAACAGATGGGAAAGACTGAGCCCCAAGAACAGTGAATGCAGGGGTGCTCCAGCAGGAGGGGGCTGCATGGACACACACCCTGGGGGCAGGAGTGAGCAGCTGGAGGAACTGAAAGACCCACCTAGCTGGAATTCAGAGAGGAGAGGGTGAAACTCATAGGCGAAAACAAAAGAGATCACAGCTCAATGTACAAAGAATGTTTCATCTATCATAGAAGACTGTCTGGAAGCTCATGTTCACCCCTCATTCTCTGAGAGCTGGAGGGGTTCACAAATTGATAAGGGTTGGACTCAGTGACCACAAGGGCTCACAGAACCTGAGTTTACAGCAGCCTATGATGGAGGAAGCATAGGTTTACCTCTGGTTTACAGAAGCTTGTGAAAGGGGATGAACCAGCCAGGCAGGCCAGCACCAGCCACCAGGACCAGGGGCTCCCCTGCTGTGGAGCACAGGGTTGCACCTACCTGGAGCTGGAGAAATGAAGAGGGATTGGTGTCAACTGTTACGGAAGCAGATTCTTCTATGCCAAATGCCAGGTTTGAAACATGGCCATATGCCACCCATCCATCTGTTCCAGGTGGAATCTGCATGTCCATGGCCACATGGAGGCTGACCTTGGTAATCCACTGTGGGGATACTCAGGAGTGGGGCAGGGTGTCCAGTGGTTCTGGCCATCCTAATGGTTCAGGTTTCCTTTGCAATTTATGCTGATACTTTAGGCGCACTTGACACCTGGGATCAACTCACAATGATGAGGTCACCAGAGGGCTGGTCAGTAACCTGAGAGATGACCTTAGAGCTGTTGCATATTCTTCCAGTACAAATCCAATCATGGCAGCCCATGGCTGAAGAAAAGGCAAAACTCGTTCATAGGCTCTGGCCCCTTCCTGCCTCTCCAACTCCTCTCACACCAGCTCCCCTCCCTCTAAAGCTCCCGCCACATTGGTCACGTTTCAGTTCCTCCTACTTTTCACACTCCTTCCTGCCACAGGGCCTTGGCACATGCTTCTCCTGTGAAGGAGACTCCTCTGTCCCTTTTTCATCCAGTTACCTCTTCAGCATTCTTCAGAGCTCTGCTCAAAAGCCATCCTCCCCCCACCATTATATGCTATAGCACACTGTCAACTTGTCATGGTTACCATCTTACATTCCTTCCAGTGATTGCTTGAAGAATGCTGCTCTTCCCATCTAGACTGGAAGCTCTATGAGGGCAGGAACTACATTTGGTTTTTCTGAGGGCCTCCCTATACAGTGCCTGGAACCTAAGGAGTTTAGTTAATATTTATTGAATGCATAAAAGTGCCCCTCTGGCCCAGAGCTGCAGCCTGAAGATAACCTAGACAACCTGGCCTCATCTGGGTGAGGATGTTGTATTGGTAAATGGGCCTCATCCTAAAGACTTTTCTTGCCCACTGGACTGACATGGGGTTGGCAACTGCAGCAATATAGGCAGTGGCAATTATGGGCTTATATTTCTGTATAGTACAATTTAAATACCTTGAATTATTTCCAATAGGCAGCTGTTCTCAGTGGGTTAATAGCAGTTAACCCTTTCAGCTCTAGTTAGAATAATTTGTTCATAAACATGAATCAAGGACCTTCTTTTTTTTTTTTTTTTTTTTTGAGACAGAGTCTTACTCTGTCGCCCAGGCTGGAGTGCAGTAGCCTGATGATCTCTGCTCACTGCAACCTCCAACTCCCAGGTTCATGTAATTCTCCTGCCTCAGCCTCCTGAGTAGCTGGGATTACAGGCATCTGCCACCACATTTGGCTACTTTTTGTAGTTTTAGTAGGGACAGGGTTTCACCATGTTGGCCAGGCTGGTCTCAAACTCCTGACCTCAAGTGACCCACCGGCCTCAGCTCCCAAAGTGCTGGAATTATAGACGTGAGCCATCGCACCCGGCTGAAGTGAGGGCCTTCTATCGGCCCAGCACTGTACTAAGAATAGCAGTACTCAGCCCCTGACCTCAGAGACATTATGATCCTAACAGACAAACAGAGACACACTGGATTCCACTGCATGCACACTCCATGATGCAGTGTTAGCCATATGCCAAGCGCGGTGCTGGGTGCCTGGGAAACCAGAATGAGGGACTTGGAGAGGAGACAGCCACAAACACAAGAAGTAGCAATGAAGTGAGAAGAGCAGACCAGAGACTGTGGGAGGGAATGCCAAGGGGCAGCCAGCACTCCTGGCTGTGCTGCTGTAAGTGTGGATCAGAGGACAGGGGCGCAAGAGTGAGTTAAACCTTCCAGCTTTGAAAGGGATGCCTGGTGCTTGGGCCCAGGTGTCCTGGCCCCATTCTGACTGCAGCTCTGCTTCCTTGTACAGGTCTGTTGTAGGCATCCCAACCTGCGAGTCCCTGGTGCAGCTGCAGCCGGGGCGGAGCTACATTATCTGTGTGCGAGCCCTCAACACGGGGGGCCCCAGCGTGAGGAGCGAGCCAGCTACAGTCCACACCATAGGTCTGTGCCCCAGCCCACATAGTCTCTGGGACCCAAAGTGGCCACTCTGTGGCAGACCCAGTGATGCTATGACTGCACTGGGAAATTGATGAATATGCACAGATATGGACATGTGGCAAGTCAGCCCAGAAGGAGTTCAGGGGTGTCCCCCACTGCCCTAATTGCAAGTCAAATGGATCATTAAGAAGTCCCTCAGGCCGGGCACGGGGGTTCACGCCTGTAATCCCAGCACTTTGGGAGGCCGAGGCGGGCGGATCACGAGGTCAGGAGATCAAGAGTATCCTGGCTAACATGGTGCAACCCCATCTCCACTAAAACATACAGAAAATTAGCCGGGCGTGGTGGCGGGCGCCTGTAGTCCCAGCTACTTGGGAGGCTGAGGCAGGAGAATGGCGTGAACCCGGGAGGCGGAGCTTGCAGTG